GATTTTTGGTTTTTTTTTTTATTTCTTTATGCTTTTGTTTCATTGCTGGCCCTTTCCTGTTTTCATTCCTAAATGAAGGAAAACTGACTTATAAAGATATCATTTTACCATCCTGACCATAAGTTTCCTGCTGTTTCCTTTGCTCTGCTCGACCCTAGATGCTAAAATGCTCTGTCCCAAAGGAGAAGGCCGAGTCCTCAGCCCTGCATATCTTCACAAAGACGACAGCCAGCAACACAGTAAAATGACAGAGCCATTGTCTGCGCCCAGCACAGGACTTCCCCTTTGTATGAGCTGAGTCACATTTTTCCTGTTGTCAACCTGAAGGCTGTCCGTTGATGTATGATAGGGCTATCTCGCTGATGTATAAAGGCAGGCAGAGAGGTTCCCTTCCACATGTTTGCCTTACCTTGGACTCTTACCAATTAGAAGCTGCCCACTGGCCCAAAGAGATAAGGAATGGTTTATTAAGGCTCAGACGCTGCACTGAATGAACTAATTTCTGACCATTCACTTCTTGTAGAATGGTTCCCGAGGTTCCTGCCTTGTGCAATCTTACTGATTTTAACAGAGGTCTTTTGGGATGTGTCTATGCATTTTCTGCCTGATAGCTGTTCCATTGGCACGTGCTTTAAAACCACAGACACATTTGGTTGGCTGGCACATTGTGAAAACAGGAAGTCATAGGATGGAATCAACTGTGAAGTAAGCCTAGCAAGTGAAGTTTCTACTTAGGAGCCAAGGCAAGAATACTGTTCTGAGAAACAACCAAACAAAAGGCAAATGTCTATGTCTCTCTCAAGAAGAAGGAGCAACCAGGCAGTGCTAATTATAATAGTTTCAGTGCCTTGTAGCCAGTGAAATGGTTTTAGACATTAATCCCCAGTACCGTTGTTAGATATGATAAAATCTCCCAAATTAAGAGAGAGGCATGATGACATTTGCAGGCAGGGAAACGTTTGAGATGAAACAGTTGTCTGATAATCACCATCAGCAATGAGATTTAAAAATACATTTTCTGTTCTAATTTAGTCTCTTTGTGTATTCAGTAAGCATCTACTAAGTGCTTCCTCCAGGAATGGCTTGCTCAGGGGTATTATGAGCCACAAAGTATTCCTTCAAATTCACATGCCTCTGAAGGTCATACCAGCCCTGTTCTTGTTTCTCAAGCCTTCCAAGCACCAGTCCTCAGAAAGACATTTATTTTGTCTAAGGTATATGTTCAAAAGAAGATGATTTAATAGCCATGGGGGAGATATTTTTAAATATCCACAAGTCAGTGGATACTCTGAACATGGAAAAATATTAGGGTGAAATGACCAAGGCCAGTTGTGTCAACTAGTTTTATATCAAGTTGATACAAGCTAGAGCCATCTGAGGAGAAGGAACCTCACCTGCAGAATCTTCATAAGATCAAGCTGTTGGCAAGTGTATAGGGCATTTTCTTAATTAGTGATTGATGAAGGAAAATATAGCCCACTGTGAGTTTAGTCAGCACTAGGATGGTGGTACCGGGTGCTATAAGGAAGCAGATTGGCCATGCCATGAGGAGCAAGCCAGTAAGCAGCATCCCCCCATGGCATCTGCATCAGCTCCTGCCTCCAGGTCCCTGCCCTATCTGCTTTCAAGGATGAACTATTATGAGGAACTGTGCGTGAAATAAATCCTTTCCTTCCCAAGTTGCTTTTGATCATGATGTTTCATCTCAGCAATAGAAACCCCAACTAAGAGACAGGGTTTTGGGCAAATACCAGGAAGTAGTACCTCAGAAACACGCAGTGAGATCATGAAATGTATTACTTGAAAATGATCAGAAATGTAAAGAGTTTAAAAACCACTTGGGCAGGCAGTGGGACAAGACAACTGTTAGTAGAAGGTGGGTAAAGTATAGAAAATAGAAAGCGCTGTATATTGAAATCTTGTTCAATCATCTCACAAGAGTTTCTGTGTAAGCTATGCCACGTACATGTCGGCACATATCATCTATTCAGATAACTGAGTCGATTACTATCTCGCAAAGTCTTCCAGAAAAGCAAAACAAAACAAATGCAACATTAGACTTAGCAATGGGCATTTTAATGTCATCTTGTTGGAGGGAGGTTAATGCATGAACAAAGAAGAAAATTCACGAGACTCGCAATGCATATGTTGACCCACATAACTTAAGAAAATGCTTGAAAGTAAGTTCTTTTGACTGATATTCAATTCAGCGAGCCTTATCTGAGTTAAAAACTCTCCTGAAATTAAAACTCAGAACTGGAAGAAATATTTAGATCCTACTGAATCCACTTGTACTTCAGATGGAGAAACTAAGGCACATGTGATTAAATGCCTTCCAAAGGCTTCAGCGTTTAGATAGGGAAACTACACTCAGCGTGACCCAGTTATCCTGTACCCTGTGTTGTGACATGATCTTCTCTATCCAGAGATGCAGCCACTGGTCTCAGGGATGCTGTGATGACTTCCAGCTCATGAGTTCTCCCTTGGGAGGCGTTCTTGTCATCATGCCATTAGACCAGACTGTCCTTTTACTGTCTAGTATGGGTGAAAAGTGAAGAAAAATTATAAGGAAGAAGGCCTTCCCAAAGAGAAATCCAAATAAAATAGTAATAATAACGCAAAATACTCAACTGTATAATTTCCAAGACATTCACCTAAATGTATAGTTAAGTAACACTATTATTCATTGCACAGCTATAGATCAATTTGCTCATGTGTGAAACCTATGAAATATAACCATTTTCTCTTCAGATCAATGATCCTGGTTTGAGTTACCCATAGAATTTGATAAAAATACATTATTCCAGATGGACTCCAGTGGCTGGCCAGATGGAAATGTTTAAATAAAGTGCTAAGAACTTGATTATACTAAATTAGGTGGTCAGGGAGAGAAAGCATGTTAATATAACTATAACCTACTTAAATTATAAGTTTATTGGATTTTTAGAATTCTACTTTCATTGCCAAAAATCTTCAGAAAGAAACATTTGGGGCTGGAGAAATGGCTCAGTGATTAAGAGCACTGACTGTTCTTCCAGAGGTTCTGAGTTCAATTCCCAGCAACCACATGGTGGATCACAACCATCTGTAATGGGGATCTAATGCACTCTTTTGGTATACCTGAAGACAGAGACAGTGTACTCACATACATGAAAGAAAGGAAGAAAGGAAGAAGAAGAAGAAGAAAGGAAGAAAGGAAGGAAGGAAGGAAGGAAGGAAGGAAGGAAGGAAGGAAGGAAAGGAGGAAGGAAGGAAGGAAGGAAGAAGGAAGGAAGGAACATTTGAATTTTTTTTAAACTATCGAGTTTATTAAAATCTTATCAATGGCCGGGCAGTGGTGGCGAATACCTTTAATCCCAGCATTTGGGAGGCAGAGGCAGGCAGATTTCTGAGTTCAAGGCAAGCCTGGTCTACAGAGTGAGTTCCAGGACAGCCAGGACTACACAGAGAAACCCTGTCTCAAAAAAACAAAACAAAAAATCTTATCAATGAGCTGTACCTGACACGAATAGACTAGTCTTACAGTAAGTTTTTACAGAGACAGTCCATCCACCAACTATACTTAAGTATCTTTCTCTTTCTGTGATTGGACAGGACACATTCTAAGGTATATACCAGTGCAAACTTTGGGAACATTACTAACACAATGACGTACGACATGGGCATTTTCGATAGCTGATCATGCAACTTTCATGTGTACTCTTCTGCTGTCATGTCTGGATTTCATTTCTACTCAATGATAGATTGCAGCCTGCCCTCTCCATATGTGTAACTTGACCAGTGAAACAGAAATTAACTCATAATGATGCCTCAGCTGGCACCTAATAGCCAAGAGTTCTATCTCTAGTAGGATTCAATCCTGCTTCAGGATATGCTCTTCAGAAAACATGTAACTGTCCACTACAGATGACATGATTTTGCTTCAGAATTCCAAAGGTCTTCCTTGAGTGGCACCCACTGGATGCTTCTTTAAACTACAAACACACTTTTGCCCACCACGAACATCACTGACACCCTCAGTCAACCTGTTTAAGAGCCCTTTCCAGCTTGCAAATGCTAGCACCTTCCACTGGAACAAGGTCAGTTGGATGGAATATCGGTACTGCCTCTAAAACACAGGGAGAGCTTCAGGTGGTTGCACCTCCTGTCCTGTAGTAGGAATGCAAGATGCAGCATTTTAACTATTACATCACAGGATATATTCTCCTGTGATCCTAACCCCCGGACATTAAAAAAATGTCACAAAAAAATGCCAGGTTGCTGAAATTCATAAGGATCATCTCCCACATGTACAGGTTGGCAACTTGTACAGTGGAAGAACGAACCACAAACGTAAAACGTTAATGGTCATGGTGACTACAGAATCAAACTGGTAAGGGGTGTTTCCAAACGACTCCATCAGTTTCCTGACAAGGGTGATCGGAACTCTGGTTCTTCAGCTGTTCGCACTCCACTATAAGGAAAAAGAGCCTCGTTATAAACTACCAAACAGGTGCTCTGCCTCTCAAACTTAGCGTTTGCTCATTAATGTCCCTCACTTGTTAATGACCCTCGATCGGTTGCCCTTTCTCATCAGATAGCAGTATTTCTGCCTCCTGTCTAATATCGTCCAAACACTGATTCTGCATGCCTGCAAGTATGCTCCCCATTCGTGTGTTTCCACAAATTCTCTCTGAGAGGGCAAGCAGCGCCAGACTGAGGTCTTGACTCAGGGATTATATTATCTAGGCCTTGTTGGGCATGAATAAGCCAGGCTTCAAGACCTAGCTCACTATCTGATATAGAAAAACACATTTGGTGTGGATTGTATCAATGCTCTCTGAGAAACTGGTTCCAGGAAGGAAATAAGCATCTAAAACATTTATCAGTAGGAACTCCTAGAAAGACACAGGAAGGTGAATAAGGAATCCTTGTTAAAATAATGACGAGCCAGCACCCGTGAAAGAGGAAATGCTGGTGATCTGGCCTCAAATTCTAATGTCTTCAATTTTCACTTATAGGTTGCTGGAGGAACTGCAAGTTCATCTACAAAGAAAGGACTACTTCAGGCTCAGTGACAAATGGGTCCCCAGCAAGTGCCAAGTTCTACGTTCATTACGACCAACAGGGAAATAATACGCCGAGCCCCTGAGTATCTAGTATTTCCAGTGAAGATGGGCCAGCATGTACGCTAGCCGGTTTGCTTTGCAACAACCCTATTTTTTCACTGAGACTATGCCTAAACTCTACTTGTCCTAAATAGCACAAGGAAGAAAACAAAGGGTAATTATCACATGTAAAGGTAGGCGCAAGTGTGTTCTGTCTTTATGATGATTACTAAGGTTCGTCTCTCCTTTCTTCAGAAAGAGAAAAAATGAATCCAGTACAGAGAGGTAGGATGAAGACAGCACCCGAAGTTCCATTCAAGGTACATATGGAGGACCGCTACTCTCTGTCCATCTGGCTCTTTGAGACAGAAATTACTATCAAGTCTTCAGGAAGCTGAAACCCATAGGGGTTAAATAATTTATCCATCCTGACACCACTAATTAGCAGAAAGGCTTCATTGTTGGTGCAGAAACTTACATATTTTATTTTTAAGAATCCCATCTGTAAAATGGACTTTGACTCATGAATGATGTAATTTCTTGAGTCAAACTATTTTATTTCTAACCCAAAAATATTTCCTATATCAATTTTAAAAGATAATGGCTTTCGCCCCTATTAGTCAATACCAGCTTGTTCTGAGCAGTGATAATTAATGATATCCCCTCTGTTGTAGACCTTGTGATTATAACTGCTGTGTCAAACTCATCCCTAATCAACAAGAAAGGGGCCTGAGTGTCCTCTGTACTGATATACATTGAGCCCAATGGAAACGAGAGCTCGTCGTCTTTGCTAACTCTCCAGTTGCTAGAATGGAAGAAAACAGACTGCTAATTTCACATTTTTTGCTCCACTCCATAGGACTCATATCATAGAAGAAAGGTCTTTCAAAATCCTTACAGCTCTTTTTTTTTTTTTTAACATAGGCCCAGCAGCAAACTCCTTTAAGATTCAAGAAGACTGAGGAAAGTTCAAACAGCCTGAAACATCAAGTGAGTTCTAGGGCATTAAGGACTATGACATAAGGTCTCACCTTAAAAACCAAAGGGCAAAGCAGAAAAACAGTCTGGTTTTTGTTGTTGTTTTGTTTTGTTTATTTTTATTTTGTTTATTTACATTACAGCCATTGCCCTCCCTTCCCAGTTCCCCCCTTCCACTGTTCCTCATCACATTCCTCCTCCTCCTTGCCTCAGAGAGGGTACTCCCCAACCAGACTGCCCCCTTCTCTGGAGCCTCAAGTCTCTCAAGGATTAAACGCTTCTTCTCCCACTGAGGCTGGACCAGGCAGTCCTCTGCCATAAATGTGCCAGTGGCCTCGGACCAGCTCTTGTATGTTGCCTGGTTGATGTATCAGTCTCTGGGAACTCCCAGGGGTCTGGGTTAGTTGAGACTGGTGGTCTTCCTATAGGGTCGCTCTCTCCTTTAGCTTCTTCAATCCTTCCCCTAATTCAACCATAGGAGTTCCCAACTTCAGTCCAATAGTAGGGTGTAAGTATCTGTATCTGTCTAAGTCTGCTGCTTGCTAGAGCCTCTCAGAAAACAGCCATGACAAGCTCCCATCTGTAAGCACATCATAGCGTCAGTAATAGTGTCAGGCCTTGGTGCCCCACCCCATGAGATAGATCCCAAGTTGGGCAGGTTGTTGGACCACCTTTCCTTCAGTCTCTTCTTCATTTTTGTCCCTGCAGTTCTTTTAGAAAGAAATAATTCTGGGTCAGTTTGACTGTGGATAACTCCACTTGAGGCCCTGTCAGTCTACTGGAGGTAGACTCTTTTGAGTTCTCTCTCCCCACTGTTGAGCATTTCATCTAAGGTCACTCCAGTTGGGTCATGAGGGTCTCCCACCTCTCGGGTCTCTGGTACTTTCTAGAGGGTCCCCCCACCTCCCTCCCCCTGAGGCTGCATATTGCCATTCTCTTGGCCCTCTGAGCTTCTCTCCTCGCCCCCAGCCTGACCCCATACCTGATCCTTTTCCCCATTTCCCCTCTCTCTCTACCTCCCATGTTTATTTTCTTCCCCCTTCTAAGTGGGATTGAAGCATCCTCACTTGAGCCTTCCTTCTTGTTAAACTTCATATGGTCTGTGAGTTGTATCATGGGTATTCTGTACTTTTTGGCTAATATCCACTTATCAGTGACTACATACCATGCATGTCCTTTTGGATTACCTCGGGATACCTCTAGTTCCATCCATTTGCCTCAAAATTCATGGTGTCCTCTGTTTTAATAGCTGAGTAGTATTCCATTGTGTAAGTGTACCACATTTTCTATGTTCATACTTTTGTTGAGGGACATCTGGTTGTTTCCAGCTTCTGGCTACTGCAAATAAAGCTGCTATGAACATAGTGGAGCACATGTCCTTGTGGTAAGGTGGGGCATCTTTTGGGTATATGTCCAAGAATGGTATAGCTGTGTCTTCAGGTAGAACTATTTCCAACTTTCTGAAGAACTGACAGATTTATTTCCAGACATCTGTTAAGAACCCAAAAATGTTAAGGTCTTCTTTGTTTTGTTTTGAACCAATGCATTGATGCAGTTATCAAGATTAACAAGGAGTCCGTAGCTAGGGGTTTCTTCCTGGGCAAGAAATGACCAATCAAAAGCATCAATGTGGAACACATGTGATTTAGGACACATTATCATAGGTGGCTGCAGAAAATGTGACCTTGGCAGTAGCCTTCAAATCACACCATAGCGTAGAGCACAGGCTTTGGAGTCAAGTGGGCATTGGTTTAACTGTGTGACCCTAAGCTGTGTGACCCTAAGCTGTGTGACCTTACACGGGTCACCTAACCTCCCGAAGCACTTTTGTGCACATTAAAACAGAGATAATCACAGTGTTTTGGGAATTAAAAGCAAAAGCTAATATAAAGTAGCTCACACATGGCCAGCGTGTGATAAATACTCATTAAACAGGAATTCATTCTCATTATTACTTTTTACTGTGCATGCAGCTAGCTGCTTCCTGTGTCTGAGCTGAATGATAACAGCATCTGCCATGCATATAATTTTAATGGCCTTTGAATCCCCACAGCACCTTTCATCTCAGAGGACCAAAGCTGTGCCAAATATTAACCCTTTTTTTATTCCCATGGGTATAGGTGGGAGCTCGTATAACGCCTAGCTGTCTAAAGGAGGTATGATAGAGAGGGCCAATCCCACATGTTTACACCAAACAGAATCCAGGTCTTGTTTCCAGGACTCCTAAAATTAAGTGGGTCATATTATTTGCTCCCAGTGGCTAAACATTGTTTATTGGTAGTATAAATTGATATGGCTGAGGCATCTTTCCAGCCGTGGGGTTGGGTTTGTTTTGGTTTGTTTTGTTTCCAAACTGCTTTCAGATTTTCTAAATGTGAATTTAAAAGTCTGTCAGTCTGTGTGCCGATAAGGCAGAACAGATTGTGAAGGTAACGGGATCCAATCTAGTCAAAGAACTCTGAGGAGAGCGCCAGCAGGCTGAAGATTGAGACCAGTCTTGTTCACAGGTTTTGCTAATGACAGAACAATTGGTGGCTGCGATTTGTGGCTGGCATTGATGATGCAGGCGGCAACACTTTCATCTGCAACCCAGCTTCAAATTGTTTAATCCTGCCAATGAATTTGCTGTGTCTGCAAAGAAGGACTCCCGAGAATCTCTCCAGATAATAAGAAATGGGGACCTGAAAGCAAGCACAGCCTCAGATCTACCTCCAGAATCCCCCTGAAACCATTGTTTGGTCATGTACTGGGGCATCTGCATCTCAACAACTTACATGAATTAATAACAAAAGGCAGCTTTAAAATAGTATCGGTCAATATAGGGGAGTGGTGAGTGCTGAGCTGTGGATTCCACCATTCCAAACTTATCAAACATTACCTCTGCAAAGAGAGAGAGAGAGAGAGAGAGAGAGAGAGAGAGAGAGAGAGAGAGAGGAAGAAGAAGAAGAAGAAAGAAAAGAAAGAAAGAAAGAAAGAAAGAAAGAAAGAAAGAAAGAAAGAAAGAAAGAGGGAAAGAAAGAGAAAGGAAGGAAGGAAGGAAGGAAGGAAGGAAGGAAGGAAGGAAGGAAGGAAGGAAGGAAGGAAGAAAAAACATGTAAATATGCTCTAACTGCCATCTGCATTTTCTGTGGGGACGAGATTTTTCTTTTCTTTTTCTTTTTACTGAATAGCACCTGCCTCTCTATTCAGAGATGTCTGTGTGCAAGGATAAGTGGGAACAACAAAGGCTTCTGCTGTGGCAGTGGCTGCATCATTTTCTTAGAACTTGCCGTTATACACTTGGGGTCAGAGAGTGAGGGTCGGTGCAGAGAATGAAGCTTTTAATATCAGGTGAATGGATTTTATAAGAGGTTAGGAAGCTTCTGGTCTTAAAGAGAAAAATGGAGCTTTACATGTAGTCAAATTTCTTTTGTGCTGTAATTATCAGTGCATGACGAATCATCTTTTCATTCAGTCTGTTTAGGCAAAGGAAATATCTGCCCTGATATCTGTGCCCAGCCGTCCTGAGAAGCAAGAGTAGCCCCATTTCACCAGCTGTGAGGAAACACAGCTTATCAAGAAAAATGATCCTGAAAGATCACCTTAAAGGGAGGTGGGAATAAAGGTACAAATTGATTTTAAAAAATAAAAAACCAAAGACCAAAAAAAAAAAAACCCTCTTATGTTCACTGTTTAGAGAGATTATGATATTGAGTAATTTTTTTTCATAATTCCTACTGCAAAAAAAATGTTAACACTGTATAAGTGAGAAAATATCAGATTTTGAACTAATGAGTCTTGTTGAAAAATGGTAAAGATATAGAGGCAAATAGCAGCTTGAATTGGTGTCAAGAGTCCAGGCAAATGATTCAATTTCTGTGCAAAAAAACAGTTTTTAAAAGTCCCTCCTAGAGCTTTACTAGGCAAGAAATGTTAAGTATTTGTGAAGTGCTTTGAAAATGGTAAATATCGCCGGGCGGTGGCGGCGCACGCCTTTAATCCCAGTACTTGGGAGGCAGAGGCAGGCGGATTTCTGAGTTTGAGGCCAGCCTGGTGTACAGAGTGAGTTCCAGGACAGCCAGGACTATACAGAGAAACCCTGTCTCAAAGAGAGAGAGAGAGAGAGAGAGAGAGAGAGAGAGAGAGAGAGAGAGAACTGAAAGCCATGGGAGTCCAAGAGATGGCTCCGAGGTCAGAGAGCTGGCAGCTCCTCCAGAGGACCCTTTGCTTCCCAGCATCTGTATGTTAACTCATAGTATTTTGTAGCTCCAGTCTCATGGGATCAATGCCCTCTTCTGACCTTCTCAAACACATGTGGTTCACAGACATCCCTACAGTCAAAACACTCAGACACATGCAATAGAAATGAAGAGAGGATGGAGAGGAGGAATTGCAATGCAATGAAATCACACATGGCTAGTGAGATGGCACAACACACAACAGATACGGGTACTTGCCACAAACCCTAACCACCTACGCTGAAGCTCCAGAACCCAACTGGTGGAATGAGAAAAACAACTCACTAGTTGGACTCCATCCTCCACATACCTACCATGGTATGGACATGCCCCCAACACACAAAACCACACTTTTATAAAAGGTCCTTCAACATGAACAAGTTGACTTCATTCTAGTGATGGGCCAATATACACAAATCAGTAAATATACTATATCACAAAGAAAAATCACATAAACATTTTAATAGATGCAGAAGATGCTTTGAAACAAATCCAACATTTTTTTTATTTCAACAAAAGCAAGCAGAAGAGTCAGAGACAGCCTGAGCTCCCACTGTTAAGAGTCCCACAAGAAGAGCAGGCCACACAACCATAATACATATATGCTGACGGCCTAGGTCAGACCCATGCAGACTCTCTAATTGTTGGCTCAGTTTCTGTGAGTCCCTATGGACCCATGTTGATTGATTTTGTGGGTTTTCTTGTGATGTCCTTAGCCCCTCTGGCTCCTAGCGATGCAGGGATGGTTAAACATACATGAAAATTGGTCAATGTAATCTACCATATAAACAAACTAAAAGAAAAAAAAAACACATGATCATCTCATTAGATGCTGAAAAAATTCTTTGACAAAATCCAACACCCTTTCATGATAAAAGGCTTAGAGACTTTTATCTAACTGGATATAAATAACTAAACATAATAAAGGCAATTTACAGCAAGCCAATAGTCAACATCAAGTTAAAAGGAGAGAAACTCAAAGCAATTCCGCTAAAATTCAAAACAAGACATGGCTGTCCACTCTCCACAAATCTATTCCATATAGTACTTAAAGTTATGGCTAGAGCAAGACAACTAAGAGTGATCAAGAGGATACAAATTGGAAAGGGAGAAGTCAAAGTATCTCCTTTTGCAGATGATATGATAGTATGCATAAGTGACACTAAAGACTCTACCAATGAACTCCTACAGACGATAAATACCTTCAGCAAAGTGGCTGGATACAAGATTAACTAAAAAAAAATCAGTATATTTCTTATGTACAAATGACACACAGGCCAAGAAAAAAAGTCACAGAAATAACACCTTTCACAACAGCTACAAATAATGTAAAATATCTTGGTATAACTCTAACCAAGCAAGTGAAAGAAAGGCCTATATGACAAAACTTCAAGCCTTTGAAGAAATAAATTGAAGAAGATATCAGAAGATGGAAAGATCTCCTGTAACTGGTCTTTGCTACTTTGTGGGTTCTTCTTTATCCCCCCAGTTTCACCCCCTAACAGTAGCTAGGAGAAAAAGAAGGATAGAGAAGAGAGAGATCTCTGAATCTAATTTTTTTCTTTTTGTTTCTTCTTTCAGCACTACAACTAACAAACCACAACCAACCTGCCTGAACAACCAACAATCTCACCTATTGGAGCTCTAGTATTTATATGCCCTCTGAAAATTTCCCAGAATTCCAAATGTCACACAATCGCAGAAGCTATCTGTAGCTGGCAAAACCACGCTTTTGTTAGAGCACAAGACAGATCACAGTCAGCTGCTTCTGATAGCCCAAAGCAGCCCCACATCCCTACATCTGGGATTAAAATGATTCAAAAATGTCCCTTCAATCTTCCATGCTTATGATAAAAAAATCTGAATAAGACTAGGAATAGAAAGAATGAATATAAAAGCTCTGTACAGCAAAGGAAGCGGCTGAGGAAGAGATAACTTACAGAATTGGCATAGATCTTTGCCAGCTACACATCTGACAGAGAACTAATATCTAGAATATACAAAGAACTCAAAATAATAAACACTGGGTCAGTAATATAACTCAGTGACTAAAGGTACTTGCCACCAAGACAACCTGAGTTAGACCCATGAATGACACAATAGAAGGGAACTGATTCCTGACCTACATACGCACACTATGGAACATGGCTACATACATACATCCTCACACATACATGCATATACACATAAATAAACAATTGCAATTTAGAACAGAGTCCCTGTGAGAGAAACTACAATGATTTCTTTGCTAATGGACACGCTGTCAAACTGTCTTATAGATATTTATTTCTTCCTAAAAGTTAGAAGCTTCTGTTTGGAGTTGGCAATTGGTTAATGCAAAGACTCATGACTGGACAAAGTGCCAAGAATAACTGACCATTGAGCTCTCAGCCCTAAATGGGACATCTGTATGTCCCCATCTAAAGTTCAGGGAATATCACAGAAGAATGGAAGGAAAGGGTTTAAGACCAAGGAGAGGGGAAGGCTTACTATGAATACTGTCTCCTGGACATGCCATGGCTGGGGTAGCCATGATCTCACAGCAGCAAAAGCTGCTACATAAAACCCACACAAGGTTGGGCCCATCAACATCCTGTTATGCGTAGGGGAAAAGCATATAAGGCCTCACACCTTTCTGAGAAGCTGGGCAGTTAATGGTTACTGAGGGATGGAGAGTCCTATTCCTCAAGGGTCCAGCCACTGGTAAATTGTTCTCACTCAAGGAAACTGTCCCCTAGTCTTACTCGTGCAAGCAACCCTGACTAAATGCAGTGGAACACACACACACACACAAACACACACACACATGCATGCTCACAGATACACATGCACATACCCATACACTGTAAGTAAGAGGGAAACTTTCTTTAAATTGTTGGGAAGAAGAAAGGGTCTAACAGGAGAAGGAACTAATAAGAGACAATAATTGTGGGGATGTGGGGATGGTATAGGGGTATGTAATTGTGAAAGAATAGATACAATTTTTAAAAGAAAAAATAGTTTATCTTGCTGAGAAGTGCAGAAAAGTAGCAGGTAGTCTAATAACCACTATGTCCACTATTCAGTCCAGAGGAGGAGACACACAGCCTTAGCAAAAGGTGGGCTGATAGGCAGAAGATGGCCTTCACAGCTTCAGATGACCTTTATCCGTAGAACATGGCAGCCATCCTAACTTGGCAAAGGACTTGTTTCTGTCCGAACACCTCATGCATCTGTGCGGCCTCCAAGAATTTAGCAGTTAATTGCTATTGTCTGTTAGCATCTTTGCTCCAAAATCCATAGCTTGATATCGTTGCAGAAACTAAAGATTTCTAAATAACATTCTTAAGATCTTGTAGCAATTATGGCTACAAAACTAATATATATTTTTGCTTTGAAAACAAAATCTTAGGAAAATGAATACGTTTTAACAGTACTAAAACACACACACACACACACACACACACACACACACTTAGGGAAAATAGTCTTGTAAGAATACAAGGCCACTGGTGAAGAATCAATAGCTTGACAGTTCTTCTTGGTAGAAAGATACAACACAGGAGAATTGACAGAATAGCTGTCAGCTTTAACTATATGGTAAGCTGGAACTACATTTCCCAGAATCCCTTCCTTGTCTTGTCTTGGATAGTGCTGGCCTCAAGAGAAGTCTGCATGAGCAATGACAGGAAACGAAACTAGTGGCTCATGTGGTCAGAAGATCATAGCTGCTCAAGGCAAGGGGTGGAGCAGAGATATGAGCAAGATCTAGTTTGTCCTACTCATTCTGAAAGTCATTCCAAGCCATCTGTCTGCCATAATTATCTGTAGCAACACCACTTCACCATTAAACCCATCTACTTAGCCACAAAGAACAAGCAGCATCCTGCAGTCTTCTGTTGCTGTTCCATTTCAACTCTGTGGTACCTGCTGAACAGGACAGACTTCTTGCAAGCTCCAACTTGCTTACCTATGCTAAAATTGGTTCAAGCAGGTTCAGTCTATAGCATAAGTCATGTAAAGATACTTAGAGAAGGACTGCTGACTTCATTAAGTCTAGTACTCTGTCTCTTTTCTCTTCCTGTTTCACGAACATGCCTTCAGTTTGTGTGCATTTAACATCTCAAGATACCCTGGAGACACCTCCTGGATGAAGTTCATCCATATTTACTAACTCATGTAATGATTAAGACCCAGAATAACAGGCCTAAACATATGGCTCATGATACATAACATGTTTAGCATGCACAAAATCCTGGGTTTGATTCTGAGCAGCTCCCCAAAATAGCCAAGATAACAATCAAATTGTAGATTTATGAAGTCTAGGACAAGACTTTGTGTGCAAGTCTTTCTAAACACTTTCAGGTGAATTGGGTAGTATTGCTATTGTAAAATATTTTGGGAAATTGAAATACTAAGTTATTCAACAAAGAGAAGGAAAAAAAAGTTAGGAGAAAAGTACAGAAAACATTCGTAAGTTATTGCTCAGAAGAGGAAAAGGTCCATTTACAGACCCTAAAATTATGATTTTCCTTTTTGATGTTTATAAATAAAATATTGTAGGAAATACAGATGCCATGGAAACTAATTTTTAAGGAAGTATATTGTTTCAGATTCAGGAATCTTGCACATCAAATGTTAAACCATTAGTAGTTTGAAATCACCCAATATACATTTATTTCCATGAAATTGACAATTGCTAGACCCCTTAGAGTGTTCAGTGGATAACTGGATGCACATGTGCATGCAAATACACAGAAGAGAGAAAGAACAGGAAACATAGTAATGGTCTCAGAAGTGACAAGGTACTTTGATGTACCTTGGCCAGGCTGTGTTCTAATAACCTGATGAATATTAAGTGACAAGCTAAGACCGGCTCATACCTGTATGTATCTCCTCCTAATATCCCAGTCAACAAACCTCACTGTAATAACTTTTACCAGTCACCCTTGGGGTATTTGCACCATGGAAATCAACAGATCCCCTGAGTCAGGACCAGTTGTGCAGCAGCTGATTGATAAGCCCTGGAGCATCACTAGTCTTCAGTCTGACATCTAAAAGCCAGTTCACACATTGTTGGTCCCCTAGTACATTATTCTATGTAGCTTGATCTACAAGAAACCTGTGCTTAAGCAGAGGATAGAGAAAAGTGTATAAAAAGTAGGGACCAAGCATCCTAAGGGAGGCAGGGCAAGATAGCATAGGAGGTAAAGGCACTTGCCACCAAATCTGATGTCCTGAGTTCATCTCCAGAACCTATAGATCTATAGGGTGAAGGACAGGAACCAATTTCCTCAAGTTGTCCTCTTACCTCCACTCATGCGCTGTGGTATGTCACACACACACACACACACACATACGCACACGCACACGCACACACCCACGCATGCACATGCACACACACACATGCTTTAAGAAATGTAATAAAAATGTTTTTAAATAAAGAATTTTAGAATAAAGGGAGATCTTCCTGTGGTGTAATTAGTCTGTAATAATAGGTGATCTAGAATAACCCAGCACACTCCCTTCCCTTCCCTTCCAGGGCTTGTGGGAAAGCTGACAAACATATTCCTTTCCTTGTCATGCTGTCTCTATGACATTGGCTGCTGTGGCTTATTTTTTACTACTGTAAAAGAATACTTAAGCCAGGCAGCGGTGGCACACAACTTTAATCCCAGCACTTGGGAGGCAGAGGCAGGTGGATATCTGAGTTTGAGGCCAGCCTGGTCTACAGAGTGAGTTCCAGGACAGCCAGGGCTACACAGAGAAACCCTGTCTCAAAAAAACAAACAAACAAAAAAGAATACTTAAGTTAAGACTGTGTGATTTATAATAAACAGAACTCGTTGGCTCACATTTGTATAACCTGGAAAGCTTAGGATTGAGGAGGCTGTATCTGCCATGGTAGAAGGTGGAAATCCAGAGGGGGGGAGGGGGAGAGGGGAATGGAGAGGGAGAAGGGGAGGGGGAGGGAGAGGGAGAGGGAGAGGGGAGGGAGAACGGAGGGGGGGGAGCGGGAGAGGGAGAGGGGGAAAGGAAGAGGGAGAGGGGGAGAGGGAGAGGGTCCAAATGTTCCTTTTTGTAAAGAAGTCAGCTCTTCAACACTCTGTTTATGAGGGTGGCATCCTCACAGCCTAACATTACTTAGAAGTTCCCTTCAGACTGTTAAAATAACAATTAAACTTCAGTGTGAGTTTTGAAGGAGCCAACACATTTAAGCACAGCACAGCCTCCTCCTTGAAACCCAGGTCTGGGGATAGTCAATTACTTCAGCTTCCTTTTACCGTAAGTGGTTTTGATTGGCTAACAGTCTTTGCCATTCATAAGTTGACATATCTTAAAATAAGACTTTGAGTTATTTCAAGGAATACTTTAATGCTGGTGAAATAGAAGAAATGGGAGGATGGGGAGGTGTGGAGACAAAAGTGATGAGAAAAGGTTAGAATGGCACCAGGCATGGGGCGCTATGGAAACATTACACCGTAGACAAGTGCACTGCATCTGCCTCTCCTTCCCCTGTCCACAAGGGAGTAGTAGTGTCAGTAGGTAGCCTGGGCCAGAGCATGCAAGGAAAACTACAAGCTGCTTCTGTCATATTTCTAGAAAAGAAGAAACCTTCTCTCTATCTAGGCTCCAAAGTAGGAAGTGAATATCTAATTCAAGTGGTTGCCCCTATTGGAGAAAGAACTGCCCATTGCATTAAACAGACTTCAAGCTTTGCTGGCAGAAATAAACATCCAAAAATGTGAAGGAGGAAAATGGGAAGAATAACAAGTGAAGGGTTCTTTGCTATAAACAACAACTGCCAGGTCCCTAGCAGAGGAGAGGGAGCCATGTTGCTTCCTTAGTGTGGGTCCTCACCTCCTCTAGCTCAGTGGCCTCCCAGCTGCTCTACTGCATTCCTGTGTTTGCTCAACCCATTGTCTCTCTCCATCAACCTAAATCAGCATCTGCAGCCACTGTCCCAGAAACAGACTTGCACTCTGTACTTCGTTTTGAATATCCACTGGTCCTATGCGAGGTTTAATCGGCAAATGGGATGTTATTTAAAGGTTGGTGATCTTCTTGCAACATCACACCAGCAATGAAACTAAAACCCCTCAAACAAAATCTTGCTTCATAATCAGGAGAATCATGCATAGGTTCCAAGTTAGTGACATCATCTGGCGTTTGTGATGTTTGTTCCCTGTGGGTGCTTTTTTTTTTCAGCATTGTTATACATAAAATGGAGCATGAAGTGCTTTATCAACAAAATGCTGTGCTGATTTAGAGTTGGGTCAGGATAAGAGTGTCCCGTGGGTCATGTCATGGTCCTGTGCTAGTTGGAGGAGGAGGAAGATAGTAACTTCTCTTTTCATCTTTGGTTTTGAGCAAAAGCAGCTCTTCTGAAGGCCACTCAGAAAACATAGCATGATCCTGGAACCAGAAGCACGCAGTCAGGGCTAACCCAACATGACAATGACAGGGACAATTGGATTTTGTCTTGTGCTCTTTTTTGAAATACTGGAGAGACTGAACTTAGACCCTCAAGCAAATGCTTCTTGTGTGAGAACCTTCCTGAAGAGATGGGAACAAACATCTCTTACCCCACAAAGGGCACCAGTAACAGGCCAAATTTGCTATCCCATCAAAGTCTAACTTGGTGAACTAGTGATTTTCTTAGAGTTACTTACAAGAGTAGGGATGTCTCAGAGGCATCATTGGAAAGCTCACCCAAAGTGCAGGTGATGACTCAGAAAAGCCCAGTGTCTGGAGCCCCGTACAGGTCATGCAGGCACCTCTGCATGTTCAGAGGGTCTGTTCCTAGCCCCTCAGCCTTGTGGAGAATCTCTCATCCTCATCCTCAGCATTTGTTTCCTGTTTTTATAACTTTGGGGAGGCTGTGGGGGGAGGGGTGTTGAACACCTTGTAAGCTTTGGCTTTCCCAAACTTGTGAAATTTGTTTCCCTGAGACTCAGGAGTGTGCCTCCTTCCTGCAGTGGAAGATATTTTAATTCTGAGACTATTGCTACTCAGCAGAGTTCTACCACTACCACATCCTAACCCTGGCATGGACAGCCGACTACGGAAAGAAAGGATAATGTTGGAAGGAGGCTGGCAGGCGTGTGGTTCTTACCAATCTACAGTGTTTCCTGATTAGCATAGACTTTACTCTAGTTTTCAGTTGTCTCCATTGGGAGTCAATGCTGGTCCTTGGATGCTTAGTCCAGAAAGTTGTACATCCTACAGATTCTAGTGAAGGAAGAACCACCCAGGATGTCATACTTGTAGTGTGTTATGCAACGTGAGGTAGGAATGAATGAGGGGAATAGGAGGAAGGAAGGCCCTACTCTATCAACTATGAGCTCAGGAGAGGAAAGCCTACCCCACTATTTTTTTCTAACTTAATTTGAATCCTATTAGTCCCCAAGCAAAGGTAATGGACATGCAGCAAGAGGCAGAAATCTCAGTTCTGAATAGATTTTGTGTAAAGAGCAGTGGGACAGACAGTGTTCACCTGGTGAGCTGGCTAATCTTATATCAACTTGACATAGGCTAGAGCCATGGGAGAGGAAGGGACCCCCAATTGGGAAAATGCTAGCATCAAACTGGGTTGTAGGTAAGTCTGTAGAGCATTTTCTTAAATAGTGGTTGATAAAGGAGTGCCTATCCCGTTGTGGGTTGGGCCTTCCCTCAGCTAGTGGTCCTGGGTTCTATGAGAAATCAGGTTAAACAAACCAGGGGAATAAGCTAGTAAACATCTCCACTCTATGGCCTCTGCAGCAGCTCCTGCTTCCAAATTCCTGCCCTATTTGAGTTCCTGCACTGACTGCCTTCAGTGATGGACTATAAATGTGGAAATGTAAATCAAATAAACCTTTCCCTCCCCAAC